AGGGGAAGCGAGCGTCGTGGGTAAAAATATCTCAACCCTGCTCTGTACGACAGACGGTCAGCTCGACTTTGATATTACTGCCCACTTGGATTTTATAATCGTTCGGAGTAACACAGTTAAAAACAGTATTACCGTACACGGGAAAAATTTGTTCTTTTACAATCACGTCGAATTCAAGCTGACTTCGTTGCCATAAGCTCTACAATTATAATCTTTGTTTCGTCGAATCTAAATTAAGCACACTTGAAATCCGAAGAAGAACCTTAGATGTCTCTTTTGTTTATAAGTAGAGAGCGGATTTTATGCATTTATAGAAAAACGGTATGTACAGAAAATATAAAAAATTGATTCAATGTCCAAGAACATACAAAATATCGAAAGTTACATACATATTACAATTTTAAAATTTAAAATAGTATATATAAAGAGATTCATTATCTAAATTGACATTATAAATGATTTGTTTTGCATAAAGATCTTCCGTCTATTTGTAAGATTATTAGAGTTCATCAGAATGACTGGACCGAATGAGATACTTGCGTAGACGTTTCCCAGATATTTAATATCTAGTTGCTGCGTACTATTAGTTATTTAGTATCTCTCTATGAAACGAAAAGTGGTCAACGATTCTGACCGGGATCATTTCAAATTTTTATGGCTCTAGGCTACATTTCGATTTTTCATTTGATGAAGTATTAATACCTATTTAGTGCCCACTGTGTATTATTTAGCATTTCTCTATGAAAAGAGAAATTGTGAATGCAATATTCCTAATGCAAAGTTTCTAAGAAGTATTGATAAATAAAATATAAATTGTGTAGTTTGTAGATCTAGGCCTCACACCAAATATTATATATTATTAGTCTTTCCTCTAGATTAATTACTGTAACTCTCTATTTAGATCATCTCTGAATCCAAAATGTTACTGCTCCTCGTAACATTTTATTTTATTAATGAATAATTAATGAATAAATAATTTTTGCAAGCATTTACTATGCTACCATTAAAATGTAAGTACCTGTCATTCATCATCATTGTTAATTTGTAGAATTTTAAGATTTAATAAGTGGTAAGTTATTAGAATGGGATCCTATTGTAACCGTACTTTCCCGCTCGTACCGGTTACATATGCCCTCGCGGAATAGACCGAGAGCTGGCTACATGGTAATCAACATGCCTAGGTTAATGAAATATCTTACATGGAAAAGGTTGGGTTGGTGCCGGCAAAGCGAAAGCCCGATCGTCAGAAGGCACACCTGAGGGTTTATGCGTGGGCGGGCGATCAAACTTGTCGATTTTGAGACTCAAAAAAACTGTTTTCGTCAAAGCTGAAAATTTGCATAGCCATCAAGGAGCATGAGAAAAAGCAGGAAAAGAATTGTCAGAAGGCTAGGTGGAAGACAAAGGGTTGTCAGAAGCTGACGAAGTTGCGAAAAATTTCAGGAAATTTACATGTTAAGCAAAACTTCTGACGATTTGCATTTGTATTGTGTACGTATAGACTAAACTATGTGCAAAATGTCAGAAGGCAAAGTGGAAGACATTCTGAGAAATTCGAGTGCAAAGTGAGAGATCGTCTTCCGGCGCGCAGCGGTTTTCACACCCTGAATGTTCGTTCAGGACTCAAGGAACTATTATTAAGATATGAAAGAATTAATTCATAAAATCAATTAATTATTTTTCGTAACGTTAGCAATATTTTGCGTGATATTTAAGAAAAACATGTTGAAATGTTGCAATGTAAGTGAAAAATAACTTTCTGAATTTTCTAGTTCAGAAGATGATCGCTCACAAGATGATCGCAGATTTGAATCCGTTATAAAACAAAATAATATAATTAATTTTGCAACTTGCAATAAAAGGCACAAAATAGTAGTTAATCACAAAGTACATGAAGTTCGCATGCAACGCGATCTATTCGGTCGAATGCTAGGAATTTCTACGGAACAGGCGGCAGACGTAGAAAAAATATTTTCGTTCCCCATGACTCCGATGCCAACTTCGTTATGCCATTTAGATGGCACGATTTATAAAACCGACAAATGGGCTATGATGAAAATTCTGCGGAACGACAGTGCTTTATCGACTCACATCGTGACTCATGTCGTAATTGTTGACGGTTTTTTTTTAATTCATTCCATGAAAGATCTACCACAATTATTCGGCAATATTTCTAAAAAAATTTTACAAATCCTTTCAAATTATCATGCTTCATGTGTGTATATAGTTTTTGATAGATACTATTCGCCATCTATTAAAGATTATGAACGTTCGTTGAGTGGACGTTCGGACAGTAATCAGGAGTACGTTATCTCTGGTCCGGAACAAACTAGGACACATGATTTTGCTAAAGACCTTAAGAATGACAAATTTAAGGAAGCTCTTGTTCTTTTCCTAATTTCACATTGGAAAAGCAATGTTGTAACCCCTTTTATAGGAAATAAGACGATTTTATTAAATTTCAAAAATTGTTACTCCTACAGCGTTCATGTGCAAGGTCATGTTGTTCAAGCGGAGATGCCCGATTTTTCCTGCCCTTCGCACGAAGAGGCTGACACCGTAATTGTTTATCATGCCTCTAAAATAAGCTCAGACTCAAATTTGGTAGTTAAGTGTTCCGATACAAATATCATTATAATTATATTAGGCAATTTACACAAGATAGCAGCGAAAATTTATATTGAATGTGGAATCTCGGCTAGTAGACATATTATAGATGTAAGTATGCTCCATGAACGTTTAGGATTAGATGTATGTAAAGCATTGCCAGGATTTCATGCGTTTACCGGTTGCGAGTATAATCTTGCATTTTTTAGAAAAAGTAAACAGCGACCATTCAAATTGCTTTTACAGAAAAAGGAATTTCAAAAAGCATTCGCTAATTTAGGAGATACGTCGGTCAATACAGACGATACTTTTGCACAAATAGAAGCCTTCGTTTGTAGTATGTATGGGTACGAGTCACACACAAAAATAGACAAAGTTAGATTCGAAATGTTCCTTCGTAATTATCACATAAAAAATACCGAAGAAGCATTTTTTAAGAAACATGTACAAAATTTCGATGCTTCCTGTTTACCACCTTGTTACACCGAGCTGTACAACAAGTAAGAAGAGCTCATTACATCGCTCAAATATGGTAGAATTGTACGCTGTCGGACCCAATACAATTTGAGCCCGAAACTTCGGGATGGTCATTAATGGAAATACGTACGACTTTATATGGTTCGAAGGACAACAGTTGCCACCATCAGTAAAAGATATTATTTTGGATACTGAGGATTCGGAAGGTAATTTCCAATTCGCGATTCCTGACTGTATGCATTATTCATTTAATTTACTTAACTATTTATTATTTTCAGCTGATGAAGAGTCTGAATATGACAGTGATGAAGATCCCAAATGTAAAGAAAACGTGCAAGATGTACAACATGAAACAGAATGATTTTTTCTTTAAATCAATATTTTTACAAAGAAAGTTAATTTTTTTAAGTTTCTTATAAGAATGTATACCATCTTAACTATCTCCTGACATTTTAATAATAGTTCCTTGAGTCCTGAACGAACATTCAGGCTTCAAACCGCTGCGCGCCGGAAGACGATCTCTCACTTTGCACACGAATTTCTCAGGATGTCTTCCACTTTGCCTTCTGACATTTTGCACATAGTTTAGTCTATACGTACACAATACAAATGCAAATCGTCAGAAGTTTTGCTTAACATGTAAATTTTCTGAAATTTTTTGCAACTTCGTCAGCTTCTGACAACCCTTTGTCTTCACCTAGCCTTCTGACAATTCTTTTCCTGCTTTTTCTCATGCTCCTTGATGGCTATGCAAATTTTCAGTTTTGACGAAAACAGTTTTTTTGAGTCTCAAAATCGACAAGTTTGATCACCCTCCCACGCATAAACCCTCAGGTGTGCCTTCTGACGATCGGGCTTTCGCTTTGCCGGCACCAACCCAACCTTTTCCATGTAAGATATTTTATTAACCTAGGCATGTTGATTACCATGTAGCCAGCTGTCGGTCTAGAAGAACCTTCGAGAAGGTCCGAGGGTCTTACGCACGCGCGGTTTCCGTCGGATTACGTAACCGAAGGATCGACGATCGATCGCGTAACCGACGGATCACTTCGCGTTAGGATACCGAAAGTATAACACCAAGTCCTTATACCAAAGAGATAACGTCGCGTCAGAGCAGAGAATGTAATTTAGAGAACAAAGTCCGTCCGGAACAATTAGAAGTTAAATATCGTATAAATAACTGCGAATGCTATGATTCGCAGTCGTAGATAGAATCATAAGCTTTAAGTGTGATTGGAGAAGTGTGTGCGTGGCCACAGCGAATTTAAGAAGTGTATGTTACAAGCGTGCGACGGATATAGCGAAACTGTTACGCCACCGATCCGTAAGTCAAACCCTGTACAAATTCATACATTGTAATCGCGAGTACCGATCAAGCGATCTTTTCTTATTTAATAAGCCACTGGCCTGACAACGTAGTATTACGCGGGTTCATGTTGTACGCCATACCGATACGAGTCCGGTAGAGTCGCGCCCTTCACTTATAAGACTGATTAAGATAGTCTTACAAGTTATTCGTTATAGAAATATATTTTTGTTATCCACCTATTTCGCCTCACAAGTTTCTGATTTCCCGTCAACTTCGAGTCCTCCTCCCAAGGAGACGCGAACTCCTCCCTCCCGAATACGCCAGCGGGGTATTCGGTTATACTATCGATTTATTTAGACAAGTACTGCCGACTTCTCGCTTGTCCAACCCAGTTATCTTTAATCTAGCGATAGTTAGAAATCGATAACATCTCTAATGAATAAGGAAAAACCCATTGCTTTAATACCTATTGATGTTCGTTCCCATATTTCTGTTTATCTGGTTGCGACTGCGTTTACTGTATATTCAAATATATATATACATATATCTATTTGTTTTTTTATATATCTAATCGAGATTAAAACGACATTTTTTATTTCTTTTTTACCTTTGTTGTAGGCGATGTTGTTGAAGAGAGCATCGATTTCTTTAGGAGTGTTCGCGTCCTCGATCATTTTAGTTGTCTTCGGATGCGCGTCCGCGACCATCGCCATTCCTTGCATGTTTTCTACGACGAACATATGGTCCAATCGCAATTCAGGTTCTACCTAAATTTGATAATTTCAGAATTAGTTGCTATATTGAAAATTATATCTAGACTTGGTAAGTAGTAATGACTATACAATATTTGATTCTCGTAACTGGTTCCTAAACGATACTATAGTAAATGACCCAATTTCTCGTCATGTCGGAATTTCTATTCACTCACTTTTTTTATAATTGTATGTAACTTTAAGCCAGTAAGTAAAAATTGTAACGTAAACATAAATTGGGACTGTATTATTAAGTAATTTTGAATTGATGTAGTTCATTATTATTATCAACTGTACATTGAAATTAAGATCAATGTCCCAGTTTCTGTTCACGTTCGAATTTCTACTCATTACCTTATTTTTCTAACATGTTAAGTTGTGATATAAAATTATAGAAAAGTGAGTCAGTGAATAGAAATTGTGACATTTACTGAAATGGCTTTTAAAAATAGTCAACACAACGGAATTATTGCCTGACAGTGACAGCAATAGCTGAATAAGCAAATGAAACTGTCTCAAGATTAATAATTCCGTATAAAAAAAAGTAGTGGCGAAAGTCTGTTTTAAAAAAGAATTAAAATATCGTATTTACTTTGTGAGGAATAAAATATTGGAAGTAGTTGCCGAATCCCTCGTTCAGCCAAATATGTTTCCACCATATCGGAGTGACAAGATTACCGAACCATTGATGACATAACTCGTGAGCCATGACGGTGAGTATAAACTTCTTCTCGGTGGCTGTGGTTTTAGCCTCGTCGTGAAGCAGAGCACTTTCTCTGAAATGGAAATTCGAGTTCAAAGATATCCAACCTTATTGTTAACGACTAGATTCAGCGGAAAGTAACCATTGTAACTTCTACACTTCTTATTTATCTAAAACAGTATTATGCTAAAACATTCTATTATATGAGTAGCATATTTCTTATTATAATACTGTAGGTAAATATACCAGTCGTTTTCATCACAATTCAAAGAAAGGAGGATTCTAATTCGATACTACGACTTTCCTTATCTTTGAAGCGCGAACTTTTATTGATCATTAATCACATTGGAAAAGCAATCTGTACTTCGTTAGATCGACAATCAATCAAACCCGTTGCACTTAGATCGCAAGGTTCATCACTTCTTTTGAGTCATTACTTCGAAGTACCTGTAAGTTACGAGACCCCAATTCTCCATGGCGCCGGCCGTGAAATCCTTCAGCGATACTTGATCTATTTTTTCTGGCATGTAATTCTGGTACGGAATACCCGTGTACACATTCAGCTCTTCTAGAATCTGTCTCATCTTCTTCAAAGCGTATCGAGTATGGTTCATCGCGCTCCTTTCCGTCCATATCCCATAGACGAACCCGTCGTCGGTTTTATCTTCTGTCCGTACATAATCGCCTATGATAAATGCTACCAAATAAGTGGACATCGGCGGGGTTTCTTTGAATGAAGTGGTCACCATGTCACCACCTCCTTCTTGTTTTGCTTGTACGCCCATATTGGAAATCGCCTGCAGTGTCTTATTGTGCACCAATGAGATGGTGAACTTCGCTTTGTAGATAGGTTCGTCCCAGCATGGGAACGCTGATCGAGCGTCTGTTGGCTGGAAATGAGTCACTGCGACGTATCCGCTAGAATCGTAGGAAAATTGGATTTTACTTAATTCGTAATACTTTGTCAGAAAAAAGTTGATATAATGTATAAAGATAAATGTATGTATAAAGTCCATGTAATGGAACTAATTATGTGCCGTATGTGAAATAGGATAAGTCGCTTAAAAAAAAGGAAAGTAACTAAGTATCTGACAAATGCTTTGAATTGATATTTTAAGAGATTGAAGGAGTAAATAGGAGGCAGATTTTTATTAAGGGACTGAAGTAGTCATGTGACTTTTGTAATATTTGTCAGTAAAATTTTGACATTTTTTGCTCTATTTTATCGATAACCAGGCAAACATAGTTCGGTATCTGACAACTGAAAAATCTTATATAAGGACGAAAAGTATAGTTCCGTAAATCAATATTCTTGGCTAATTTTGTGGATAATTGATATTCTGTCTTACCGCGCAGCTATTGCTGTATAATTAATGTCACAACTTTACAAGTACAAAATGGTCCCATCTATATTCGATTCCATTTCAGAATTGAATATCTTTTATAATATTGAAATAAACAACTTAATTTTCTTTCGACTATTAGAAGGCTTAATTTTTTATATAAGATATGTCCCGATTTTTGTCGATGTCCCAACTGTTAGTCACTAACATATTTTTATCATTATGTCTGATCCCAAAATTTAAAAAAATTCCTCTTGAAAAGAAAAAAAATGTTTTTAATTTATTGTCAACATCTTTCTTGGCGGACTCTGACGAATTTTTAATTTCTTGTTGGACATTACAGTAAACATTCCAATTTTTGTTTACGTCCCAATTTCTAGTCACTCTTTTTCTGTTACTGTATGTCATCTTAAAATGATAGAAACAAGGCAGTGAGTAGTAATTAGGACACTTAATTTAAATTGTAACGAAAAGTTGTTATTCGTCTGAGTCTCCAAGAAAAAAATGAAATACGTTCTTTTTTACTTTTTTATTCGGGTCTCTAATAAAATTTTGAAACATCCTTTTTGTACATTCAAGTAATTAATATACATCGGACGTAATTTGATCCATATCGGTTACGGTTTCTCTAGCTAGAAGTTGAAATAGTGACACATATTTGGAATTCTGCAAATATATAGTTATTTATGTCAAAGTTGAAAGAAATTTAAAAGCTCGCTTTGAAATAGAAAGAATTAAA